ATTGGGAAGTGCCTGGTCATTCTTTTTTTCTTTCTTCCATGTTTAATACCTTTTGAAACATCTGTAGAGCTGGTCTGGAAGGTGTCTTATCTCTTGGAGATTGGATGTCTGGGAAGGATTTTAATTCTCCATTGCTGATTAAACCAATTTTGGCTGGGTAGGAAATTCTTGGTTGTTTAACTTTGCGGACTTTGAATATTGAGTTCCAGTCTCTTCTAGTTTGTAATGTTTCTGCCAATGGGTCTGCTGCTATTCTGATTTGTTTTCCCTGGTAGGTAGTCTGACCTTTCTCTCTTGCTGCCTTTAGAATTTTTTCTTTTGTACCTACTTTGTATAGGCAAATTACTATGTGTCTAGGGGTTGGTATTCTCATTTCATCTTGCAGATTTCTCTGTATCTCTTGTGTTTGGAGGGTCACATCTCTGGTGTGATTTCTTGGATGACCTCCTGGAACACTTGCTCTAAGATGTTCTCCATTTCCCTTTATTCTTCTGGGATACCAATCAGCCATAGGTTCAGTCTCTTGATATAATCACACATCTCTTAGAGGCTTTGTTCTTTCTTTATGAGTTTCCTTTCTATGTGTTTTACAGATCGAATTAATTCCATATTTTGGCCTTCAAGTTCTGTGATTCACTCTTCTGCTTGATTTGTTCTGTTTTCCATGCTTTTCATCTTGTTATTTATTTCCTGAATGAAATTCTTTATGGCCAAAATCTCTGCTGTAAGTTCTTTCAGTGTTGTATCTTGTCTTTCTTGAATCTTGTTCACTCTTTCCATCCATTCCCTAATCCTGTTGTATTCTGAAGCCAGTTGTTGGTGACTTCCATGTTTGGGCTTTGAGGTCTGATATTTCGGGCATTTTCTATTTGTTACACTGGGAATTGCCTGTGTTCTTCCACTGATTTTTCCTTATTTGTGACATAGCTTTTTCTTTTTCTCTTTTAATTCTGTTATCTGTGCCAGTGGAAAAGGTTTTCACTTCTGATGTTTGCTCACTTGTCTTTTCCTTCCTGATCAGGGCTCTGAATTTGTTCTATTTTGAAACAGGGCTGTGGCTGAAAAATTTTGCTGTTTCTTGTAGTTTTGAGAGTTGAGTAAGGTGGAAAATGGGGAGTTAGGTTTCAGAAACTACTTGTAAATCCAAATATTCACTGATTATGGTATGGGTTCCCTGAGACCCACACCCCACCACCACTTTATATGACAATGGAAAGGGTACATGTGTGTATCCCCAAGTCCAAGATACAGTGACAGCAATGAAGAAAACAGAGAAAAGTAAAATGAAATAAGAGAGACAAAGAGAAAAAAATTAAAAATAAGGACAAACAGAAAAACAAATCAAAAAACAAAGCTAAAAACAATTAAACACACACACACACACACACACACACACACACACACACACACAAATCATACCAGAAAAGAAAGCAAAACAAACAAAACAAAACAACAGGGAAACTGAAAACACACACACACACACACACACACACACACACATGCACCCAACACAAAATGAAAGGAGAGGAAAAACAGAGAAGAGAAAAAAAGGAACTCAAATCAAACCCTCACACATACATTCACATACACACTAAACTAAAAAAAGATAAGAACAACAACAACAAAAACCCTCAATGATGAACACTCAGTCATTCACATACACACATAAGCTGAAAACAAAAAACAAAAGAAGAAAAAAAGAAGAAAGAGAAAAGTTAAAAACAGTGGGGGAGGGGTAGAATGCAGATTGAACCCTCACATACACATTCATGCACAGAGGAAAAGGAGAAGAAATTAAAATAAGCAAACAAACAAAAACAAAAATTAGGTTCTGTAATTGTTCCTTTCAGCTGCTTGCAGGTAAGCCCCTCTACCATCTCCTGAGGAGCTGCAGCCTTATCACAGTCTCCCTAGTATCTGGCGGGGGAAGGAGAAGGAGGCTGTGGGGGTGGTTGGGCTTCAGTCCTTCTCTCCCACTCTCATTTGGTCAGGGGGATCCCCTCCAGCATGGAGGTGTGGGATTGTCTCTTCCCCAGGTACTGGTGGGGGAGTGCCCCAACTAGGCGTGTCTTAGAGTAAAGTCCTTCTATCATGGCTGACATCCAGGCTCTACCTGGGTTTGTCCTTCTCAGTTGTGCCCCAGTCGTGTGAGTATGATGTTCAGAGAATTGCTAGAAGGGGGTTGGGTTAGCCCCAGACTCACCACTGATCTCTTTGGAGATCTTCCTCATCCTTTTCTGGTCACATCTTTTGTCCCAGAGCTGATCAGGATAGGGGGTGGGGCACCTGAGACTCAACACTTGTCCTATCCCTCCAGAGTTTGTGCTTTTGGGTTATTCCCTCTGGGTCATGATCAACCCCTGAGTAGCTAATCTGCAGGTCACAGAGATTGGGTCTGTTGCCTTGTAGTGAGCATGCCAGAGCACCTTCCTAGCCATTTTTCAAGATGGTGGCAGCATGCCTCTTTCGTCTTCTCCAGTGGGACTCTGCCTCTGGGCTCCCTTGCTGTGTTCTCTCTTCAGCCCTTGCTGCCAGTGTCTGGCCAGGAGCTGTGGTGGTAAGGCAGAGCCTGGAGTCAATAGTCACTTATGGTGGCTTCTTCCTGGGCAGGGCTTTGCTAATTTTTTTAAAATGGCACTTGCCTTCTGGGCTTTGGGAAGCACTAGGGTCCAAGCAAAGCAGCTGAGGCACTGGCCACTTCACCAGGAGATCCCTGGCCACTTGCTCCTGAGTCCCCTCTCAGTCATCCACTCACATATCCACTTACTCACAGACAAGTAGGTAAAATTTTCCATACTCTCCCTCACTCAACACTGGAACTTCCATAGTCCAACTGGCTCTGCCGCCATCTTCCCTAGTCTTGATCCAGATATATTATAACAAGTATATTTTTGTGTAGAATTTTTTGAAATCTATACATAATGTCTTAATAATACACATTTTCCATGAAATTTCTAAGAATTCCCTCATATGAAAGGGATTAGGGGAATTGGTTCATGTGATTTTAGAGGCTGAGAAATTACATGACAGTCCATCTGCAAGCTACAGACTCTGGGACACCAATAGCATGCTCAGTGCAAGTCCTTAAGCCTCAGAACCAGAGAAGCTGATGGTGTATTTATCAGTTTTCAGTCAAAGGCCTGAGAACCTGAGGAGATGCTGGTGTAAGCTCTGAAGTCCAAAGGCTGTAGTTCTGATGTCCAAGGGCAGGAGAGTAGAGTGTTCCAGTTCTGGGGGGGGGGGGGGGGAGAGAGAGAGAGAGAGAGAGAGAGAGAGAGAGAGAAATCACCTTTTCTCTGTCTTTTTAAATTCTATCTAAGGTCCCAATCAATTGCATGGTGCCTGCCTACATCGATGGCAGATCTTTGCCACATCAATTTACTCACCAATTTTCTCTGGAAACAAGTTCACAGGCACACCCCCAAAATGTATTACTGGTTTTCTAGATATCCCTAAATCCTGCCAAGTTGATACCATCACATAGCCTATGCTGGGGTAGTTTTCTAGAGTGCACTGAGCAAGATAGAGTACCCAGAGCTGACCTTGTTCTGTCCCTTGGTAGAAAAGCAGCGTCCACAGTGTCTCTGAGAAGCTGAAAGAGGGTCCACTGAGGTCAGTGTGCTTCTGGGCTAAGATAGGCAGAGAATATAGTGACTGTGGACCAGGAGTGTAGCTGAGTCTAAGCCCGTACTACTTGCCACAAGACAGCCATTAACTCAAGAGACAGGGTGTTGGGGCAAGGCAGATGACTTTTATTCAGAAGGCTAGCCACAAAATGACACACTGATAAATTAAACTAAAAAGTTGATAGATTAATGTCCTAAAGAATCATTTTAAATTAGTATGGATTTCTGGATCCTTTTTATGTTAAGGAAAGGAGGAAGCTAGGATCAGGAATGGCTGATGACTATACACATCTGGGCTCCACCAAGGGTCTGAGGAGGTTGTGAAACTTCTTCAGATGTTGTAAGTCAGGTTATTATGTTCCTTTAAATCTTTAGTGTAACATTGTTGCTTATATATACACTTTCCTTATCTCCTTGGGGAGTTAGTTTTGGAAAAGGGATCATTATCATTTTTTCTGAAGTTGAACTATGAACTAAATCCTTCTGATAATTAGCTGGTCTATATACAAAGCTAAGCAGAAGCTTTTAAAACCTAAAGGATATTACTGTACAGGGGAGTGGTCAGAGGCAAAATGGAGCTAGTCATGCCTAGCCTCCCTTCACTGTTATAGGAGTAACCCATCCCTCCTCAATCTACCTTGCACCTGCTGGGGGATCCATGCTTGGGAATAACATTCCAGTGTGTCATTTTGTGGCATCAGAAACCAGTCATCAGCCCTGGGGACGTCCCATAATGTTTCTCAACTCAGTGTCTGTGAATATATTTCCTGCTTTAAAAAGCTTAGCATGCCTTTTTTTTCAAGGTAACCGGATATGTCATAACCGTGCCATTCACGTGAAGACTCACCAAGTCTTCTGACACCAGGAACCAGAAAATACCCAGAAAGTCAGGAATTCCCAGCACAAGCAGGCAGAACCTCCTTCCTTGCCCATGAGGATAAAAGGCCTAAACCCCAAACCTGAGTGCGGTAGAAACCACAGCTCATATCAGCAGGGACACAGGGGCCTTTGTAACAGGTTATTGGTGTGGCCTGCAGCTGGGAAGACTGGTGACCTCTGATCTTCTCTGGTTTCTGCACTCTGGCTTTGGCTTTGGCACTCTGTGCCATGTTAGGGCTCTGGGTCTAGGCCTGAACAGGATTTGTTGGTGCAGCTACTTCTGCTGGGAGGTAGACTGCATTCCAAAAGGTAAGGGAGCCTGGTGAGCTCTGGGAGTATAGATTCTGACTGAAGTTACTGTAGGTAGGTTGGTCACCAGCTCCTCTTCTAATCCAGGGTTAAACTGTGACTTGGTACTAACTCAGTTCCTCTCGTAGGGTCAGTCTGCACATAAATAATTCTACTCCTTGGCAGTTTTGAAACACCACCACCATAATGAATAAAGGTAAAGATCATCATGAAAGGGCAAACTTGGCAAGGGGAGTATTCCATGCCATCAACCTTACATGCTAGCATTTTGACTTTTTCTAGTGTTATCCTGTGGAAAACCTCAGCTGGTAGACATTCAGGATACCAGTCATCGGGTGTGGATCCTTCAGGACAAGACACTGATAGCAGTCCCAAGGAAGCATCTTACGACTCCAGGTGAGTATACAAGATCTGTCGAGGGCAGCCCCTTGGGCCAATGCTATTGTGTGTTTTGTGATCAGTCTTTCATTCTACAATGGGCTTGTTCACTGAGATTATCTAGAAAGAAGAGCATCTCATAGGCAATAACGAATAGAGGGTTAGAACAGGGTTGTTACGGGACTATGGTTATGAAGTCAAAGAGAGAAAAAACTCAAGGGAGACTGAAGGGCTGGCCTGTGGAAGATGGTGCAAGTCTTTGAGTAAGACTAGGACAGAAGAGTGTTATTTTGAGAACACTAGTTTTTGAATCCACGAAGGGCTGACTTTTCTAATGGAAAGACTTCCCTAAAGATGGGATGGGTCCTGGGTGAAGTAGTGGATGATGGGGGCACCATTTTATGAGTGCTGGTTAGCAGATTCCAGCCTCTATTGCCCTTATAACTCTAACTCACAGATGCCACTTTCGAAATGAACCTGAACATTACTTGCTACATTGTGTTCCTAGCCACTATTGCCTTAATCTCATGCCGACATGTGGAGACCCTTAAGAAAGACAGAGGGAACTCCGTTTACCTGGGACTGGAGAAGCCAAAGCTCTGTGTGTTCTGTGAGAAGGTTGAGGAACAGCCCACACTGCAGCTTAAGGTGAGTGTGGAATACGGATCCTGTCAGCACCTGATTATGAGAGGAGCTCATTTATTTGATGGAAGTTCAGATTTTAGGATTTCTTAAAAGACAATCCACTTATTATTCTTACATATTTATTTTTGTTTTGGGTGGGATTGTATGGTGAAAGAATACAAAAAATTGCAAAAGTGTTTTGAAACTAGCCTGCTAAAATCACTTAACATTTTATTTTACAAAAATAATTTGACAAGAAGGAAGTCTATCTCCAGTACACACACACACACACACACACACACACACACACACACACCGGGTAAACTCAGCAAGGGCATTTTAGCAGTTAATCATCACAAAGTAAATGAGCTTATTAAAACATCTTTTTGAAAAAAATAGTTTTAAGTGAACAAATATAATTTTCTATATCAAACATCCTAATAATTGCAATTTTCCACTAATAAAAATACTAGGAGTTACAGGAAGATAATTAAACCAGGCATCTGTGTATCATAAGAATTCTCTTGACCCTTTTCAGTAAACAAATAAAGGCAGACACTCAATTTGGTGACAAGATAGAAAATAGTGGTTTTCAATCACGGGTTATTTTGCTCCCAGGGCATTTGTCAACATCTGGAGATATTTTTGGTTGTGACAACTGGGGATAGGGGCATGTTTCTTAAATCTAGTGGGTGGAGAGCAGGAATTCTGCTAAGCATCTTATAATGCACAGGACAGTTCCTAATAACAAGAAATTATCTTGCCCAAAATGTCAGTAGTGCTGAGGGTAGAGAAACCCTCAGAAACAACTATGTTTTAACCCAAAATTTATTGTAATTCATGTATAAATATCTTTTTGGTTTTTCCATTTCTAATTCCTCAACTGGTACTATGTATTCTCAAAAACTTTTATGTTAACTCATCTTTCAAAGTTTCACATTAAGAACCATTATAATTTATGGCTTAACATTTCAACCATAATCTTAACATATAGAAAAGTATTGGAGGCGTATGATTTTTAATCCTATAATATGAAACAGAGGTCTCTAGGCCTGCTTTAATGAGTGGGGAATGCTATCTTACACAAAAAATATCATCATGTAAAGAATGTGAAACAATTCAAGCAGTTATGTTTCTCACTGGGGTCTCCTTCTCACCCTTCAGGAACAAAACATAATGGATTTGTACCACCAGCCCAAGCCTGTGGAACCCTTTCTCTTCTACCACAACCAGAGTGGCAGGAACTCCACCTTTGAGTCCGTGGCTTTTCCTGGCTGGTTCATTGCTGTCAGCTCCCAAGGAGGCAGTCCTCTGATTCTTACCCAAGAACTGGGAAAAGTCAACACCACTGACTTTGGCATAACTATGCATTAAGATCAGCCTGGAGTTGGAGGATCCAACTCCATGCAAAGAATCTTGCTTTTATTTTCTTTGTAATGCTTTCAAAGTGCTTCTGAAATTAGCATTGTTACAATGATCCATTCAATAAGGGAGTGAGATTTTCTATAATCATGTTCAGTTTTCAGAAGTAGAAATCAGGTTAAATGGCAAATAAGCAGTAAACTCTTATCCTAGCAAAGGAAGGGAGAATCTATTTTTGGGCTTTCCTCCCAAGGGTATCTTACTGCCTCCCAATATATCCAAGTGCTACAATGGGCTATGTGCCTTCTCCCAGGGGCTATGTGGAAAATATTTCAGGAAAATTAGAGCCTTGCCATGACCATTGGGCTAATATATGGCATTATTACAAAAATAATAAAGAAAGATCTACTTAGTATACTTGGTAATAATGCTTCAAATACGAAATGGGGATGGTAAGTCTTTATTTATTTATTTATTTGGATTTTTCTTGAGTTGGGATCTTACTCTGTCACCTAGACTGGAGTGCAGATCATGGCTCACTGCAGCCTTGTCCTCCTGGGCTCAGGCAATCCTTCTGCCTCAGCCTCCAGAGTAGCTGGGACTACAGGTGCATGCCACCCCGCCCAGCTAATTTTTTGATTTTTTTGTACAGATGAGGTCTCATTAAGTTGCCTAGGCTGGTATCGAACTCCTGAGCTCATGATTCTCCCACCTTGGCTTCCCAAAGTGCAGGGATTACAGACATAAACCACTGTGCCCAGTCAACTTTTAAAATTTAAGTCAGATCTTTGGACTTTTGGATGCATTGATCTATAGTGTTGTATGAAGATCTTTTAGATATTGACAAAAAGAAGCAAATATAGATGTTCCATCAGAAAGAAGAAACCAAAAAGAAAACTGAGCCCCTCCACCCTGGGCTTGGCTTATGTCTCAGTGAAGTTATATATGCTAGAGCTGGTCTGGATGAAGAACTGCTTTATTTATGAAGCTGTCACCTAAATCATTGTCACTGGATCTTATGAAGAATTAAATTTTAAAAAGTGGTGTCTCAGTTGCTCTGTGGTTATAAATGGAATGACTTTAATAGAATATCTTGGTCATAATATTTATTTCTTGCATTTATAAACAGTTTTATAGTTAGCAAAGCAGGCTCACATGAAGATCTTAGAAACATTTGTAAGATTTTTGGGGTATGTGATATCTCCCTAAGCCCAGGATCCCCCAGGCCTCACTAATGGGGTGGGTGGGGCAAAAATAATATCAGTTGAAACTTTACTCTTTGCAATATGAGAATTCCTAAAATACTTAATTTGTGTAATCCTCCTATGATTTTTTACTTCCCATTATATTTTTACTTGTCCTTAAGCTATGGAGAAAGATGTGGGGATACTGTTTTCCTGAGCACATTTATAACATCCAGGACCTGTAGGCATTACCCCAACTTCCTCATCCCATTCTAATATCGTCTGCCTGTCAGCATTTGAACAAATGTATTGCTGTAAGAGATTACATTTTACCTCCCCCAGCACTCAGAGTTTTTCATTTGTCATGGATCCTACAAAAAAGGCAGGACTGTTTCTCCTCTGCCTTTTTCCATGTTGGCAATTTCTCTAGGATCTGTGGGATGACTCTTAATAAATAATAATTACACTAGGTTAATGAGCATAAACTGAGATGCTCTTGGGCCAACTGGGATATATGTCTCCCAAATTCAGGGCAGGGGAGAAATCTGGCCACCTTTGACATTGTCTAGATATTTTCTGGGAGAAGCAGTTCAACTTCTTTAGAAATTTGTTGCTATTTATTTGCATTTTTTTGTTTTCTAATAAACACAAACAACTTATTACATTTTTTCTTAGGACCCCTTGGGATACATTGTGTATACATATATTTTTATATAATATACATATATACAATATATGTAAGGGAACTTACTGTAAGATCTACCTGCTCAACAAATTTTAAAATGTATAATACAGTAATGTCAATATGGGCACATTGTTATACAGTGGCTCTCTAGAACTTATTAATCTTGCTTAACAGAAACTTTATACCCGGTGAAGAGCATCTCTTCATTCATTGCTCCCTCCTGCTGGTCCCTGGAAACCACAATTCTACTCTCTGTTTCTATGAGTTCAACTATTTTAGATACCTTATCTATAAGTGGAAACATGGAATCATGCAGTATTTGTCTTTCTGTGACTGACTTATTTTCACTTAACAATGTTCTCCACGTTCATCCATGTTTTCCCAGATGGCAAGATTTTTGTCTTTTTTTAAGAATAAATAATGTCCAATTGTATGTATATACCACACATAATTGTATGTATATACTATGCTTTCTTTATCCATTTATCTATCGACAGGCATTTAAGTCATTTTTTATCACTTGGCTATTATACATCATGTGACACTGAATATGAAACTGCAGAATGAATTAAATATTTTAATGTGCCACCAGAAACAGTAAAACTCCTAGAAGAAAACATAAAGGAACAGTTTCATAACAGTGTTCTAGGCAAAGTTTCTTGGATATGACATTAAAGTACAAAAAACAAAAACAAGAATAGACAAGTGAAACGATATCAAACTGAAAAACTTTTGTACAACAAAGAAAACAATCAGCAGAGTAAAAGGACAACTTATGAAACAGGAGGAAATATTTGCAAATCATATATCTGTTAAGGGGTTAAAACCAAAACATATAAAGAAGTCACACAACTCAATAGTATAAAAACAGAAGAAACAAAAAGCCTGATTAAAAAAATGAGCAAAGACTTGATGGACATTTCTCCACGGAAGACAGATAAATGGCCAATTGGTACATGAAAAGTTGCTTAACATTTAGTAATAACCAGGGAAATACAAATCAAAACTACAATGAGATATCACCTCATACTTGTTGGAATGACTATTGCAAAAAAAAAAAAAAAGTGTTGATAAGGATATGGAGAAATTGGAACTTTTGGGCACTTCACTTTGTTAGAAATATAAAATGATGCAGCCACCATAGAAAGCAGTTAAAGATTCCACAAAAAATTAACAATAAAATTACCATATGACCCTCAAATCTCACTTCAGGGTATATATCTTAAAGAATTGAAGTCAGGATTTCAAAGGGATATCAGGGCACAACCTGTAATTTTGATAGACAGTGTTGACATTATCGTTCATTTCAACTTTAATCTGTTTTGGTTATTATTTTATTTTTAAAATGTGGTCATATAGTATTTCTAAATTTCCAAGTGGTTAGATTATTTGAGGACCATTTAAAAATAGTTGATGTCTATTCTACGGTCATACAAAATGGCCTGTATGATATCAATTTGGGGCAATTTTTGATATTTCCTTTGTGACTTTGTGCACTATGTATTTATACATTTTTCATGGAAACCTAAAAAAAGCACCATGATTTCCAGGTATGAAATTAGACATATATAAATGTGTAATTTTATTTATATAGGATATGCTATATTATGTAATATAAACATATCTTATAATGTATTCTATAGACTATATAGAATCATATATTTGTATATTATATATTTTAATATAGTATTAATATTTTAACATTAGTAGATTTTAAATATTGTATTTATAGCCGGGGTCAGTGGCTCAGCCTTAATCCCGCGCCTTTGGGAGGCTGAGGTGAGTGGATTGCCTGAGCCCGCGGGTTCGAGACCCGCCTGGGCAGCGAGACCTCATCTCTACAATAAATCAAAAAATCAACTGGGTGTGGTAGCGCATGCCTGTAATTCCAGCTACTTGGAAGGCTGAGGCAGAAGCATCCCCGGAGCCCAGCAGGTCGAGGCTGCGTTGGCCGGGAGCGGCCACTGCACTCCAGTCTGGGCGACAGAGTGAGACTCCAACTCAAAAAATAAAATAAAATAAATAAAATAAATAAATATTGTATTCATAAAATATATTGATAAATTAAATTTTATTAACTATTTACTTTTTACATTTTTACTTACTTTGCTTGATCAATCAGTTGCTAATAGGGAATATTATTAAATTATCCTACTATGACAGTATATAAGTACTTTTACACCATTTGATTAAATTACTTTTATTTTAAGTTTTGTTGCCCATTGGTTCATGTCTGCTATAACTTCTCGTTTGTCTATACCTCTTATCCCAATAAAATATTCATTTTTAAATCATTATTGATGTTTTTCTTACATCCTTTTTTGGCTATGTTTTCCATTATTTTACCATGTATAAAACACATTTGTTTTTCACATTTTAACATCATTGAAACCAGGATGCATCTTATTACAGTGGCTGGCATCTTACAATACTGCCAGTCAGGTGGCAGTCATGACATGGTGACCATTGCCTATGCATGTGCAAACACAATTGTTTTTTCTGATGCCTTGTTTGGACAAATGTTATCAATTTGAGATTTTATTTAATATATCATTTTAAAAAGCCCATGGTTGTTGGCAATAAGCCTTCTATTGACACATCCACATAAATTTAAGGAAAGCATTGGCTTTAAAAGTTCTGGAATCAAGATCTGCAGTTCGGGATGATGTCCAGAGATAAGGGAGGATAGCTTGTTAAGAAAAGCTGTATTGTCCATGTTTTTGTTGGGACAGAAGAGGTTTTATGTGGAAACATTGATGATTCTGAGTCAAAAGTAAATTGAGCAGAATCTGACTAAAAATGCAGGGAAGTTTTAGAAATCCTTTAACAAACTAATGTTATTTATATTTGCCTTTTTTATGAATAAAAATTATATTACAAAATGTATATCTTTAAAAGAGTTCTATTTATGTGTGTAATTCTAAGAAAGTATCATATTCTAGTTTAGCATTGTTTTTTCCTTTTAAGCAGTACATAAAATAACTGCACATCTTACAGTCCACGGCTTTTTTGTCAACTGCTTTTTTTGTGTTAGCATTTGCCTGGCATATGTAACCATAAATCCTTATATTTTTAACCTTTTTGAATGATCTCTTATCAACAAGCATTTTGTTAGAGATGTGTATGTGTGTGCGTGAGTGTGT